TGAGGTTTTTTATTTTTATTTTTTTATTTACAAGGTGGGGTGGGAGATTATGCCAATTACCGTGGGTTGAGTTTCTTTTAACTGATTTTTTCGCTACAATTTTACTATATTATACCATTATGGTTAGCTTCCAATGGTTTTTTCAAATCTGTCAATTATAAAATCTATATTTTTTGACATGATAATTTTTTTTTTTAATATTTCAAAGGTAAAATGAACCCTTTTATTTAAATCAACGATTAACTTTTTTGTTATATATATATATATATATATATATATATATATATAATTCAAAATTTTTTTATTGCCCTAATTTAAAAACTAAACATTTTATTTAATATAGTTAATTTCAATTAAATATGATTTATTTTACTTATTTTTATTTTAGTAATTTATAAAAAAAATAGCATTTATATTTTTGTTACTTTGAATATTACTAATTTTAAAATTAAGTACATTCTTTTACTTTATTTTTCTACCTTATATATAAAATATATAAAGTATATTCTTTTACTTTTAATATTCTTTTAAATTATTGATAACTCTCCAAATAGAGAGTTATTTGGGTATAATGTTGGTATAAATTAGTTAAARAGAACATGACTTGCACCCTTATTCACTAAGTTCGTGCTAAAAAGATCATAAATACTAGCTTTTTACAGTGTAGTATTGTCAATTGCAATTGAGCTAATTTTGCATTTTGCTACAGCTTTGACGATGCTACAGCATCAGATCCATCAACGGGATTTACCACAGTAACTCGGAGAAATATCTGGAATTTAGAGCTGGAGCCCACTTTATCCTTTGTGTTGCCCTAATTTTTTTACAAACGACTTCACACTTGGAGCTTTGAAGAAGCACTCAAGTGCTTGAAGGAGAAAGAGAAGCTCTCAGTAGGATGGATAAGGAGGAGATTCAAGGAGGAGATTCAGTCCCCAAGAACCCAAAGGACAAAGACAAGGTAGCAAGGCCTCGAAGACCGGAATTCTTGCATCTTCTTCCCTATTCTTTTTCTCATTTTATTAAGGATGGTATAAAAGTCCCCTTTTAAGGCAGCCTCCAGGAGATATTCTTCCCCACTCCATTTTGGAATCATCCATCCCAGTTGCTCGTGGAAGAAGAATAAGAAGCCCAGAAATCTGCTGCTGAAACAGAGAACAAGAGGATCCTTCTCTTCATCTTTGAATCTCTTTGTTTTATTTTCATTCTAGTTTTTATTTGATTTTCTTGTATGACTTTTTGTAACTAATCTAATTTGTGAGAGGGAGGTTGTTGTGAACCTTTGTTACTGTTTTTAAATGATGAAGAACATTGAGTTGAAGTTGTTTTATAAATTTATTTTCAATATGCTTGATCACCATGTTGGAATACCTCCTTGTTAACTTTTGGAAAATCGTAATAGGGAGCGAAATACTTCATCTCGAACTAGAGTCTACTTGAGTTTAGCGTGTGGTGACTTAGGGATAAACATCACCTAGCTTGGTCATGAAAACTGTGCATATGTATGGTGTTATTGTTTGTCTATGAATGTTAATAGTAGAAAATCTGGAAAAATTCTATGTCTGTTTGGCAAATGCTCTGGAAAAATTCTATGTCTGTTTGGCAAATGCTGTAGCATCGTCTGTTTAAGTCCACAAGAGTCACTTAGCTGCTTCCCTCTTACTTACTTTAATATCAGTATTTTAGTTCATATTWGCGCATTTTCCTCAGACATTTTGCTGTCATATGTCTTTAATTCATTTTAACAGTAGTTCATTCGTGTATTGTTTGGGTTGATTTACTTTAGTTTTCCTATTTGTTATAAATACTTTGCTTGTTTAAAACCCCCAATCTTAAGTGATTATTGAAGTGTGTAACAATCAATCCATGTGGATACAAACTTTTTATTACTTTCTGCGATGTGTACACTTGCATAAGGGGACATAGATCGAACCCAACACTTATATATATATATATATATATATAACCAAAATAAACTACGATTTCTATTTTAAAATCACACTCTGAAAATTATATAATTTTTACAACTACCAATTATTTAAATATGGATAAAAGAGAACAATACACGTACCTTTTTCATCCCTAAATTAAGATCAAAATTTAATTATTTGATTAATTGAATTGAATCGTTTAATTTATTTTTTTATAAAGGAATTTAATTATTTAAATTTAACATTTTCAAAACTTATTTTATATCAAGACATAACTATATTGAGATAAAATTGAATTATAAATACACATAATTATAACTGAAAACAATTATATATATCTATAAATTATAAAAGAAATTTCATATTATAATTAAAAAAAATCAAGATTTATAATTGGGAGTCTAGGAAAATGTGAAATTGAAGCATTTAATTTCTCAATTGACACAATTAAATAAAAGAAATAATCAATAATAAAAGTAAGAGATGGAAAAGTAATGTAAAAATAGATAGGTARAAATAGAAATGAGCGAGTAAAGAGGAGAGAAAAGAGGTGAAAGGCGTGAGGCCCCTCCAAGAAAACGAGGAGATAGAGAGAAATAAAATAAGAAGTTAGAATAGTATTTTGAGACAATGAAATAGTAAATTTACTGTTTTATAAGTCCTCCCCAAACAAGAACTCATGCCAGAGCCAGTACTTCCGCAAACACCCTCAAATTTTTTAAATATCTATTTTTAGTTCCTACTTATAAAAAAAAATATTCATTTTGATCATTATATTTATTTTACTTTTAGATTTAAGAAGTGAATAATATGACTTGGTATGCATTAACTTATCTATAATACTATGTATTGTAGTTGTTTGTTATCTATAATACTATGTATTGTAGTTGTTTGTTATAATTATTATTTTGACAAATATGTAATAAAGTCATATTGGTTGGTTGATGTGAGTACTGAATAGGTATATACTAGGTGATAAAATAATAACAAAGGCTACCAAATATGTCACGAAAGTTTAGGAGYTAAAATAGTTCTAAAAGTTCACAAGTAAAATAGTTAGTTTTTTAAACTTTAAAAACTCAAATATAAATACTGTACTAAAAATGAAAAAAAAAGAGTCAAATATAAATTTTGCAGGATCAAAATAATTATTTCTAAAAAAAAATTCAAAGACAAGTAGAAAGCCTAAAAGTTAAAGGCTAAAATAGAACAAAAGAAAGATGAGAGTTGAACCTATTTTTAATTTGAAAATTCTTTAGAAAATATATTTTATTTTTTATTTTTCCATTTACATATTAATTTAAAAAAAATACCATACTAAATAAATTTATGAACAATAAAATAAAATAAAAAAAGATACATAAAAGCATGAAAATCCTCTTTCAAATTCCTAAAAACCATTAGAAAAAAAGCCTGCTAAAGAAGATCGGCTAAAGAAGATATGTTGAGCAGAAACTAAAAGTTCATCCTTCCTACTTGTTTTTGTTTTTTCATTTTTAATAAAGAAAAATAAATTGTACGATTTCCAACATTGGTCCCAACATCCATAAATTTTTGTAGTTATGCTGTGSAACAAATTGGAAATGGGATAAAATACACTTTTAGTCCGTGCCTACCTATTTTGAAAATGATTCTAAATGGTTTTGAAGTTAATTTGACCGTTAGTTGGCTAATAGAAAAGTTGACTCGGCAACTAATTCCTTGTTAGGCATGTTGACTTGGCAAATTATATAAATATTATATTATTTTTTTGTGATGAGATGATGAGTTGGCATCTTATTCTTGCTCTTTATTTTTTTTTCCGATGCTGTTGTCTTCTTGAAACCTCCTTCCTCTCTCTTCTTTCTTCCTTTCCTTACAAGGTTGTCTCCAACGAACTTCACGTAGACTTCGAAATCTGCATATCAGAGTTCACCCCTTTAACGGATATGGCTGAAACATTTAGAAGGGAGAAGCGAGCGTTTCACAACTGGAACGAAATGCCGGAGTGCTTCTCCCATTCCAGATGTGGTGAAAAGCAACCATTTAAGCTTAGTATACTCTCATCCCTTAGAAATAAAACAATGTTCCAAAATCGTGACACTCGAATAAAGAGAAAATTATGAATCCAAATCCAAATCCAAATCTATATTTATAAAACGAGAATTGTGGGTTTTTACATTTATTTTCCTCTTTTTTTTCCTTCTAATTTTGGATATACCAAGACCCAACAGAAACACCACAAAACATGCTACTAAGGTAGGAGAATAAATAGAAAACGCTCAATTGAAGGAAGAATTGGACCAGATCTGCACCATCGCAAGAAAGTTGTTGGGGATGGTCGAACTCGTGCCTTAGTAGTAATCCGGCGGAGTATGAGAACGGGGTTCCAGATCTAGAATGAACAGTGAAGCAGGGCGGGATTCCAGATCTTGTACGAAGGGAGGAGTGCTTCTCCCCTTGTTCGAGGCCTCTCCCTTGGCGGAGAAAAGGAAGAAAGAAGATAATGGTGTCGTCGGTCGGAATGGCGATGGTCGCCGAGAGAATAAAAGTGGGAAGGAAGAACAAGAGAGAAAAAAAATAAAGAATAAAGAGGAAGATGCCAACTCATCATCTAATCACCAAAAAAAAAAAAATTTATATAATTTGCCAAGTCAACCTTCCTAATAATAAATTAGTTGCGATGTTAGTCACTGACGGTAAATCACTTTGAGACCAAAAGTAAGACTTGAAGACTAAATAGGCATTTATCGTCAAATTMAAGGGTTAAAAGTGTATTTTACCATTGGAAATAAGAACAAAAAAGAAAAAACTTGTTTTGACTGTTTCCAAAACTTTTATACAATTTGAGAATGTTCCCAAAAAAAGAGAAACAAGTAACATAGTTAATTGCAAAATGCTTAGATTTCTTAAAAAAAATTGAAAACGAGAAACAAAAAAACAGTAACGTTACTAAACAGAAGCCTAAAATTTCCRTCTTTTAAGAAACCAAAACCATTTTTAAACAGGAATTCATGAGGCTGAGGATTGTTTCTTAAATAACCAGCTCATGTTGTCAAATTAAAAATAGCTCGCAGTGGGCAAAACAAATAAAGGGGAAGCAGAGGTTAACACTTAAATTTGACTGTGATTGTGTCAAAAAGAAAAGAAAAAAAGAAAGGAGTTGCATTGCCACATTGGTCACCAGCAGCACTTAGAAATAAAAATGAACGAACCATGGCTTCAGTTCTCATAGAAACGGAGCTCTACCATAAATTCTCTGGGCTTGGGTGAATACCAAGCGATGGCTTTAGCTGATCCAAGGACCTGCAACGCATACTCCAAGGCAAATGTCGGCTCCTCGACTTGCATACCCCACCCTGCTTTATTCAAATCTATTGTAACTCTTGAATCTGCTCTAAAGCTGATGGGTCCAGCGATCTGCGTGGCCAACGTTTCACGAAACAGTCCCAGTTAGTCACTTGATACAAAAAAGTTACGAAGAAGGTTTTTCCATGACTTCATTTGAGACACATATTATCATTTTTCTTTCAAACTTCACCAACCAAGAGAAATGTTCTAGCAAGTGTTCAGGGTGTAAATTATTGATTATGGGTTCAGCTCAAAGACAGAATTTCCAAACCTCATATGAAACAGAACTTCGCAAGAATTGCTTTATTTTTCCTATTTTATTTAATTTCCGATTGAGACGACGACACACTCAGCAGCTGAAAGGAAGGCAAATATACCTGCTGCTGAAGGGAAAATCTAGCATCAGGCAAAATGGCTTTCACTGTTTCAGTTCTTGGCTTTCCAGAATTGGAAAGATCTTCTATCAGAAGCTTGGCTCCTGAAATGAACTTGGAGCCAGAATGAAAATCCATACTTGCAGAAAACCGGGTAAGATCCAAAAATCCCCTTTGAAACATCCCATACTGAGCTGAAAAAGAAATGGAAGCAAATACATCCGCTAAAACAGTAGATCTTATTTTAGAAGTCTGCATGTTAAGTCCTTTAAATTCCTGAAGACTGTCTTGTGCGGCTGATCTAACTGAATTGTCTCCAAAGTAGGTAGTAGCAACAGCACCTTCATCAGCAGAGATTGTAAGCAAAAATTAGTAAAATTAGCGAAATATTAATTTTCCCAGGAAAGGTATTGCTCGCAACTTCATACCGTCTGCAAAATTATGTAATAAACAAAGGYATCTTACGCTAATTTTCTTCTTTTTGCTGATGCAAAGCAAAAGTTCGAATATTTAATACTCTACAGCATAAGAGAACTTCGAACATTAAAAAGTTGAGGATGGCTTAATACGGTTTCGAGTATGTCTTGCATTTCGTTAGCCAAGTTGGCAATTTGCATTTGCAAATGCCGTATGCATGAAAACACCAAATAAAAATAAGGTTAAATAGATAAATAGGTCCTTGAACTTTCCACCATTTTTGTTTTTAATATTTTAAAGTTTCAATTTAGCCTCAACGTATAATTCAGAGATGATAGGTTAGAGAACAATAATTTTAAACCCAACATTTATAGTCCTTTACCTAATTTTATGTAATTTTCAACGACTTCATTGAAAATTTTAGCGATCTCGATGATAAAATTAAAACTTTAAAAGCATTAGAGAAGGAATTGGAAAAGTAGTAAAAGTTTTAGTGGCTAAATAAATATTTAGCTTAAAAGTAAAATCAGGAGTATGAACTGAACGACAGAAAACCAGTATGGAATGGATTCATACCAATGATCCCTGACAAAGAAACATGAGGATTTGATAGGAAAATGTCATACGGTTGCACCATCTTTAACTTCTTGGCATTGCTTCTCCAGATTTGGAAGTTGTGCTTAAAGGAAAAGGCAGCCTTGAGCGATAAACCAGGAAGTAGACAGAAAGGAACCGCACCGGTTTTTTCAGTTCCAGATTGTGAGGGAGAGCCGGCATTGTGGTGCATTGACAAGTGATAACTTGGACCTGAGTCGAAAGCAGCAGAACCTAGATCAATGAGTAATGAAGAAGGTACATCCCAGTAGTTGCCCGATTCGTCCACAAAAAGTCCTGGAGAAAGTGCCTCCATTGTTAGATCATGATGAAGAAACTGTAACGAGTAAATAAAACTGTACATCAAGAGATGGCGTAAAAAATAATAGCATAGCAGATTTAACAATTTGTTTTCTAGTAAGGGGTGGAGTAGTGCCTTGTGGTGGAGTAGTGCCTTTGTTCGAAGCATTCCATTTTCGCCATATCCGTCAAAGCTGATGAGCAGGGAATCCGAATCGTCCGGATTTAAGGAGATATCAGAAGAGACGCCAAGGGCGTAGAAAGATGGGTGGCAGAGGTGCCTTCCAATGGCTTGGAGGAAGGAGGAAGGCGAGTGATGCATCACTCCAGATCTGGTAAAAGAGGAGATAAACTTCTGCAAATTGAACTGACCTAAAAGAGTGGGAGAGCTGCAGTGGATTTGATGGAAAATCAATACCAGAGGGTGTGAATCGGAGAAAAAGAGAAAGAGAATGAGAGTGAGAGTGAGAGTGAGTTACCCGGGGAAAGGGAAGGGGAAGACGCGCTGAAGAGAGAAGCCGTGGGAGGGAGCATAAGAGGGGACAAAAGGCGCAGCCATGAAGCGCTGCATGAAATCGATCTGCTTGGCCCTCGAAAGTCTGGCGCCTCTGGATAATCCCAATGGAAGTAAGTGTAAGTGGGCAGGAACAGGGGACGCCGCCCCGTCCAGTGTTGTAGGCGTTGAAACATCCAGCTCCCAAAAACCTTGTCCGTCCATGGTCCATCTTAGCTTCTTCATCTCTCCTTAAACACAACCCTAAAATCTACTTGTATTTTGTAGCAGTTGTCACTTTTCGCAAAGCACACCGTCCCCTCCACTGCTATCAGGTTTCCAGGTCGAGGGCGAGGGCGCTTTTCCTATGGTTAATTTGTAGAAATGCCCTCGAGCTAAAAACAAGTTAAAAATAAAATACATTCAGAATGATTGTGATTTGAAATTCGAAATTTAATTTTAAAATCTTTTACTTGATGCGAAACTGATTTAAAATGAATCTAATGATTTTTTTTAATTTTCTTTAAAGAAAAAATAAAATAATAAATAGAGGTTTTTAATCCTAATTTGCCTTTTTTTTGAGATGCTGCCAAGATCAGAAGGTAAACGAACTCAAAATTTTAAAGGGGTTATTTTAGTAATTTTAAAAAATAGCATAATTGTAATTTTTAAGATTTATTTTTGCTTCAAAATAATTTATTTGCCTTTTGATGATTGCTAACAAAAGGAAAAGATAAAACTGACGTGTAAAGTAACACAAAAACTCGAAATTTTCAAAATGAACTCGAAATTTTCAAAATGGCATTTTGGTAATTATCAAAAAGGGCATAATTGTAAAATTTGTTCTCTATTACAAAACCATTTATTTGTCTTTTTTTAGGGATGCTAGCAAAATGAGAAGGTAATTGTACGTGTAACTAGCAAAAAAAAAAAATTTGCCTAGCAAAAAAAACTTTGCCTAAAAAAAAAAAACTAGCAAAAAAACTCAAAATTTTCAAAAAGGTATCTTAGTAATTTTGAAAAAGGATATAATTGCAATTTTTTAAGATTTTTTTTTTGTTACAAAATCATTTATTTGTCTTTATTATGCATGTTGGCAATAGAAGAAGGTAAATAGTAGCGCAAAAAACTCAAAATTTTCAAAAGATTATTTTGGTAATTTTGAAAAATGACATAATTGCAAATTTTTAACCAACTGGGCTGTGAACACCAACTCTCTCAAAATTTCTTGAGACTCCCCATATGGCCCAGCACATGGCTAAAAAAAAGGTCAAACTCTACTTTAGGAATAGCTTCCCAAAACCACCAAAACAGGTCAGCCACTTAATGTAGAGATGTAAGGTGATTCATCGATAGGAAGGGCGTAGCCGCCCACATCTTTTTATTTTCTTACAAAACCAGGGTGCGTGGAGGGGGCTTTCAGCAGTCGTACCACACCTAAAACATCTCGGGTCCGCTTCCATGCCTCTCTTTGCAGGGGCTGTTACCAAAGGGAGGAAATATTTAAAGACTTTCCAACCAAAGAATTTCATTTTACTAGGAATACTAGGTGACCACACATCATTCCACCATTTTTTCATCACGTYGTTCAACTGGTTTCCATTGAAGAGCTCTTCACTAGCCAAGCGGTACTCACTTTCACCGAATACTTACCATCCATACAATAGTGCCATACTAGCGTATCTTCGGTCTTTCTTTTGGACGACAGTATATTGAGGATGATGCACATCATCCTCGTGGAAGCAAGCAAACAGTTCATTCCTATTCCACTCACCCTCCAGAATAATTAGGGAGACAACATTTCAATTAGCTACCCCTAATGGGGAATGTGGTCGTGAAGGAAGATGATGTAGGGATCTACTTATACTTTTGGATACGAATTTGTTCCCCATTGCCAACTCTCTATCGAATCCCTTTACCTTGCACCACTGCTTTAATGATAACTTCCTTTCCTCTAGCTGAGAAGAAGTCACCTTTTCAACTTTGGAGGAATTTCCAAATTCTATCATTTAAGAAAGAGAACGGTTGAATTTTCTTCCTCGAAAACAAGGCAGGGAGGTCTAGATACCTTTCATCGCACTGAACTCTCAAAATTTGAAGGATTTGGACCAAAAAATCAGTATCGGTTGGATTTGTATTTATTTTACTAGAAAATAGAACCAACCTTGTCTTCACTTTGTTTGACAACTCATTGTTTTCTTTAAAAGAAAAAGTCTAATTTTGTAATTATCTCGAAAACAAGGTTGATCCTCATTATTAGGAGCCTAAGTATTTTTTCCCATGACCATGTAACCGAAGCTGATAAAAATCCATCAAATTCTCAAAGCAAATCAAATAAATAAAGAAGGATTTTGCTACCTTTTGTAGACTGGGAAGCATGGATTGTTCGGGAGGTCCGGAAATTTCCGTGACCAAGGACAAGTCTATGATGAACTGTATTTGTTAAATAATTGAAAATTGAGTAACATAAGAAAAATAGTTCCTTTTTTTTTCTTGACAAATACATTTGTGGTCATTGAAATTTGCGGTTGATATATATTTAGTCCACAAATTTTGAAAAGAAACTTCTATTTAATGTCACCTCTATCCCTTCTCATTCATTTCCCATTCTCCTCCAACGTACCTTGCAACTGCCTCGCAAGCCACCGTCACCAGAGGAGAGAGATGACAAGTGGCGATGAGGTTCAGCAGAGGGAGATAAGGAGAGGTAAGGAAATAAAAAAATGGATATACTTGGTCTAAGTTTGAGATAAAATTTGTATTTCTTTTAAAAAATTATCATGATCATTTATTTAACATTTTGAAATTAGTTTAGATAATTGAAATTAGTCTAAATGATTCAAATTTATACCATGCAAAATGATGTCATATGCAATTACAAGCGAATTCCAACCCAAATTTAACGCACGATTAACATATATGAAAACTAATCAATACAATATCTTCCTTTCTTTTATTAGTAGGTCGTCTTAACTATCAACAGGAGTTCCATCCCGCGAACAGTAGTACGAATTTGAATCATGAGCCAGTGTCTGCAGAAAAGGAAGGTATATCAATATGTCGAAGCAATTCTCAAATATCAAGAAACACCACACTATTTAGACCACTCCAAGATAAAATATGAACCTGTTCTTGCGCGCGAAAATACATGAATGGTGTGTAGTCTAAGAAGTTCGAAACCCTTGAAGTGTATATATCAGCATACCTGCAATTATTTGGGAAGAACTCTGTAGTCAATATCATCGAAACCTACATTTTTATTTGATGGGACAAAGCTTTTTATTTAAAGTGGAATATTATGCAGGTGAAAGAAAAGTTGCATACTTCTCAATCTGTCTCATCAAATGGCTTTTATCCCATAGACCTGCACGGGAAAGAAATCCCCACCTGGTGCAGAACAGTAAGAGTAGGTTATATATCTAAGTTCCAAAAAATATCATTCAGTAATGTTTTGTCCTGCTACCCAGGGCACTGCTGATTATACCGACGACAGACTTGAGATGAGAACAAAGAATGCAGCAGTCATAAGATCAGTGCCAATCCTACATTATATTTAATTGAAAATTTGAATACATGCCATATTGAAACACTTCCTTCTACTCAACTTGACGTTTTGTATTTCAAATATCAGTTCACACATGACGCTGACCATTTTCCTCCTCCATATTCTCCATAAAATCTGTATTCATGTGTAAATCTAAAAAGGTCCGCTCTCGATCATTCCACACGCTACCCATGCAGAGATGTGGTGGCAGCTGGTGGAGACATTTCTTTGGCCAACATGAGTCAAGGTTAGGAGTCCATATTCCCTTGTTATACTAGTTTTCGCCGGTGGAAAGTATTGGTTGCTATGACCTAGCCGAGTCATACGAGTTTCTAAACTCTAATAAATTCTTACACTTTAAAAAGTGTCCAATAGGTCCCAAACTTTTTATTATTAATTCTTTTCCCTTTTTCTAATAGGTATCTGAACTTAGATGGTATCTAACAGGTCCATAAACTTCCAATTTTGTGATATGCTTTATAACTTTGCAAATTTTGCAAATATGACAATTTTATTAAAATCTATTCAGTATCTTTTTTTATTCCTATTTTAACCTCCAATTTTAATATATTCAGGTTCCCTTACCCGTTAGAGTTCATGAGCGTGCAAACAGTGATGCGCATGGTTCAGTCGTTTGTTGTGGCCATTGTAATGGAAAGAGATTCTTCYCAATGGAAATTGGGCTGAAACATTAGACTCCTTGCTGTACTCTTAGCAAACGAATTTTTTTTTTTGTTTAGATTATAAATTTAGTCCCTATAATTTAGATGTTGTTTCGGTTCAGTTCCTATGGTTTTGGTTTAGTTTCAATTTTGTCATTATATTTTTGAAAATTTCAATTTGGTCCTAATTTGATTAAATCTCACCAATTTATCTGCCGTTACAAGATTTTATAATAGGAATAAAGAAAAAGTTATTAAACAGATTAAAAAATAATTGTTGTTTGGCTTAGAGGGGAAGGGTAAATCATCCATGAAAAACAAAGATATTTTTACATTTTTTTCCTATTTAACAAAAGTTTGGTATATTAGCGATAACCCTAATTACAAATGAGCATGCAAACAAGCACTGATAGAAAATGAATTCAAATATAACTTAACAGCTAGTTGAGCATGCAAACGATCATAGACAGAAAACGAAAGTTAAATACCACTGATATACCAATTTTATTCTACAGACAAAGTATATCAATAATAGATTTAATAGCAAATGAACATGCAAACAATCATTGATATAAATAAAGTCAAATATTACTGATATACCATCGATATACCATTTCTTATTCATTGATATAGTATATCAACAACAGACCTAATAGCAAATGAGCATGGAAACAATTATTGATAGAAAATGAAAGTTAAATACCACAAATATATCAGTTTTTTTAAAAAATATTAATAAGGTATATTAGTGAAAGACCTAGTTGCAAATGAGCAAACAAACCATCATTGATAGATAACGAAGTCAAACATTACTAATATACTATTTTTTTTATTTTATTGATATGATATATTAATGGTAGACCTAATGGCAATTGAGCATGCAAACAATCTCTAATAGAAAACGAAAGTTAAATAGCACCAAAATACTATTTTTATTATATTGATAAAGCATATAAGTAATAAACCTAATAGCAAATGAGCATGCACACAATCATTGAGTAGCTTTTTTTCTTTACCTAAGTCACTTGATTTACGTTATCGGTGATTTACATTGATCACTAATAGACATAAATCACTGATTCACTAGAACCTTGTAAAATTGACCAATTAGTGATTTATCTCAGCCATGCAACATTGAGATATGTTGATGGGTC